GCAAATAACTACTTTGATGTGTCACAAAATTAAGTTTGAACATTTAAAGAATTAAACTCTTAAAAAAAAAACTATAATATATTATAAATGAATAATGAATGAGCTTAATATTAAATTTGTAAAGAGAATCTTACATTTACCTCAAACATCTTCATGTTGTCTTATTCACAACTGGACTAATGGTGGATCTATGATCATTTTTCTTATTTCTACTTTTAACCAAGATCCAAATAATTCAGAAACAAAATATTTCAACCTTTAAGCTTTTAAAAATGCTTAATGTTTACAAAAGTGTTCAGCTGCAGTGTAAAAAGGAGAGCTTATCAACATGTTATGCAGTCAGGCTTTTCTCTTCTAAGAGGCAATGTTCTCAGCGTCAACATTGCAGAATAAAGATGACTGAATTATATACTCCGCCTTGATCCATTTAGACAGTGAAGTTAAATAAAACCATCCATTATGGAGCTCCACATAAATCTCAACCATTAATCTCAGTAACAAATAAAACAATGAAATAAGCCCAACAATAACGGTTAGATATTGTCTGACTAAATTATGACTGTGTTCAGCTTCACATCAGTGCTGTAAACAAACAATATTTTCCAAACAAGGCAGCTTTTGTGCAGAATAACTCAATGGCCAATGGCCTTTTGGAAGGACTTTTAGGGGCCTTCATGCCCACGATAACATCCAGGCAGGAGGATTGGGGCAATTGGATGATGGAAAAAAAACAGTGGGTTTCTCATAATTGATGATATAATCTCAATATTCAAAACTTATTTGTTATGTCCTTCGTTCCTAAGACCTGAGGGCTCTCATATATGTGACATTGAATCACACTTTTTGCATAATCACAAATTCATTCAAATACTACAATACCTTTGCTGCATGAAGTCAGGTTTAAACACAATTCATTCGGTCTTTTATGCAACACAAATAAAATACTAGTAGACAGACATTACATGGCAGCTAATCTTCAGACAGTGGGCATTTTTTTGTTTGTAGTTACTGAAATGGTCACTAAAGTAGAAAAATTTAACAACTATTTTTGATAGGCACCAGTTTTTTTTCCCCATTTGGTAATAATAAGCTGTTATTAACCCTAATACATGAGTGTTTTTTTCTGTAGTACAGAAAAACTGTACTTTCTAAGTGAACTTAGAATCTCTGCAGACCACCAACCAAACAAGATTTCACAGAGATTTACGGAATGGTCCTGCACAGGATAATGAGGGCAGCTGGAATCTATGGAAGTGTGTTCATATAGTCTGTCCACAATTAGCTTCAGAGAAGCTGCAGAAACATGGCTTTGAACATTAACTGGCTGTTGAATTTGAAACCCTCTTCCAAAGCAGGACCATCAACTATATAATAATATTATAATAGTAAAGTATAAAAATATTTCTTTTTTCCTCAGAAATAAAAAAAAAGTTTTATTTTTCTATTTGCATAGTTCGAATGATTTCATTTTCTCTGTTTTATCGACCGATATCTAACAGATCCCACAAATGTTCAACCTAATTCTTCTTTGTACACAATAACTACAGATTAATTTGACTGTATTATAAGACAGATTCTTTTCACTTTATTTCATTTTATCTTATAGCACCAATTCACAGCACGTCTTTCAAGGCACTTTACAGGTCAAAAGTCGAATTGATTCAAAGTTATCTATCTAAGGAACACCAGTTGATTGCATCGACGCATTGGCATTAAGGCAATTCCTCACACTAAGCACATTTGTAGCGACAGTGGAGAGGAAAAACTCCCTTTTAACAGGAAGAAACCTCCAGCAGCACCAGGCTCAGTGTGAGCGGCCATCTGCTGAAGCCGACTGGGGTTCAAGGACATAAAAGCTGACATACAGAAAGAATCAGAGATACAAAAGGGTCAAATGTTGACATCGTCATCCGACAAATAGTCCTGGTCTTAATACATTATGAGGAAACCAAGTGATATTTGATGCAGGAGGATTGGTTGAAAGCAGAACCTGATGTTTGTCCATACATATACTTTCAAAAACCAACTTTAGGTCATAATTTACGCCCTATAAGCTATGTAAATACATAATTTTAAATTTGGTACAAGCTCTCAAATAACACAATAAAGGTTTGACTTATTAAAAACATTTTATGCAACAGATACTTTCAGCATATCTAAAAAAACATCTGATTGAAGCCAGCCAAAAGGAAACTAACCAGGCCACATCCTTCTTAATTACACACATAGTAACATGCATCTGTTGGTTGTCTCTGCTGCTTTCTGAGAGCTAACACTATCCAATATTTGGGATCCAGTAGCATTGTATGACGTGGGATCTATTTCAATCTGAATAAAAGTCATTCCAAAACTGATTTAAAAGGCATTTCTTTCCCTCTTATGAATATTTTAAAGTATAAAAAACAACATATGTCAGCATTGCAAATGCAAATTCAACTTCCTTTTTTGCCATTCAGATATTGCAAAAAATAGCAGTGCCAAATGCATTTGACATAGCCATTTAGCATCTTGCTTACAGTAAATTCAGACAGATGGACAAACGACTCAGGGGTTCTGGACAATAAACAAGCAGCGTATCTGTTTGGCTACAAATAGAGCTCAACATATATACAGTGCTAAGTGCGAGATATCAGCTGGTAGATCTTGCCACATTCTCACACTCTCCACAGTAGTTCTCTGAGAAGAAGTGAAGCACGCCCAAGCACTGCTATCTCGCTTCATTCCCTTTGCGTCTGTTTGTACATCTGTTTGACCTTGCACATAAATTCACTGAGTTCCAGAAGAAAAATAACAGAAACCGTGCATCTAATCAAACCACCAGGAAAAAAAACAAAAGGATACTGGACAGTTGCTGTTTCCATGCACTCCAACTAAAATGCACAGTGTAATTATATTGGAAACCAACTTAGGTTTTGCTAAACAAGCCACAGCCAAAACACTTTTGCATTCTGTCTGTTTCTAGTGCAGAGATGGCCCAATGGTTTACACTTCCCCAAAAGCATAGCACTGGCAGCTTACGCATTGCATACACACATGTGCTAATTACCAGCTAACCCAGTGCGGTGTTGAAAAGCACCTCCTACAGCCTATAGAGGGCTGCGTCTAGATGTTTCTCTGTTGCTAAGGAACGAGAATAGCCTTGAACATCTAACTGGCTGTAAAGACAGTACGGAGAAAATGAGACATAGATTTCAAGCAAACTGAATAACGACACAACTGCCAAAAGCTCCTCCACATTTTTGTCATGTTCTGCTGTGGCAGATCAGATCATTTATCGAGGGAAGACCTGAGAAGAGGAACGCTGAGTCTGTCTCTACGGTTAAAGTCCATTGAAGCATTGCAAGCAAATCAAGAAGATTGTTTTACCATTTATTTTTTTGCTTTGTTTTTCTGATTAGATCTGATTAGAATGTAATCATGCAGGAAATATTAATACCTGTTAAACTATTTTTGTAACATTTTTTAAAACAACATAGCCAGTGTTCTTTACATGGGATGTTATGAAATGAACACAAAGTAGTGCATCCTGAAGAATTGAAGCATGTATAAAGCATATTTTCTGTTACTTTTACTAATCACAGCTGGAGAGTTTAATGCACACTGGAATTTAACCCCCTCAGTCAATGCTTTTACAACAATCACAGATGCAAGTTAACTGCACGTATCCAGGCTGTATGTCTACAGCTTTGCACATTTAAATGTTATAAAGCTAATTTCTCTGTGCAAACATAGCTAAAGGTTCATTAGAATGGACAGGGAGCATTTTATGATACCAATGATCAAGCTTGACAAAAGATCATTTGGATGCTTAGGTCTTTGATGAGGTTTCGCCTCAGTTTCAATACTTGATTGGTATCTTACCAACAGCTCTGACCAATGTAACAGGCCCTGTTGCATAAAAGCAGTCATGCATGTTGCTACAATTCCTTCTTAAACAAAGATTAAAGTATCATCAAATGACCTCTATATATTAATTAGATAACTGATGAAGGCAATGGGTTGAGCTAGATTATATTTTACGGGTATTCTGACTGAAGGGGGTCAAAAAACAGATCTATGCCTTCCTTTTTTAGATTATATATGTAAGAGGCTGAAATTTTTTTTTTCCATGAATGTCACTATTATGAATGTCTTCCTGTTGATCTATCACATAAAACCCAAATCACAAACATAGCGAAGGAATTGATGGTAAAATAAAGACCATACTGACAGTCATTTTTCACTGCTATTGTACATTATACTGGGCATTATGGTGTTAAGGGAGCTGCTCGGGGAACCAGAGTTAAAGGCTGTGGTTTGAAATGGCGATATTGCAACCTACACAGGATGCCTTGCTCTCCAACCACTAGACCACCAAATAAGAATGGTTGTGTGAATACTTTTGTTTAATGCATGCAAAATGCTTGCAAAAGGTACAAAATTGGCTAAGTTTGGACCTATGACACAATGTACCATCAAGTTAAACACTTTGAAATGATGACAGAAACTTGGTTGAGGACATCAGTGACATTTTTTTTATCAAAATGTCTAAAGTTTTACTCCCAAGCTTTTAAAATGGAATTACATACTCTAGTTGTGTCAGATTTCATGAGTGTAAATGTTAATTTGCTTTAACTTGAGGATTTTAAGCTTGAAGCGCACTCCACCGTTCCACCCTTCATTACCCCTGACAAACAAAACATTCTTAAGCATTAACGAATAATCATTATTATTGTCAGTTCTTTCTTTTCCCCAGCATTTATTCTAATCCCAGAGCTGTGTGATGCTGTTCTCCATGCCAGTCAAAATTAATTGCTCACCAGGGATGTGGGGTGGCCTGTTTTAAGTTTAGAACTGAGCGTAGGAAACGGTTTCTTCAAACCAATTATAAATGCATTTAAAGAACAGTGTTTGACATGTTGCGGTTTCATTTTGGAGAGAGTTTTACACTTTTGACAAAAATAGGACCTTATCAAACATGAGAAGAGAGCAGAGCATGTGTGCCTTTTACTTTCACCTACCTTGACACTGGAATCCCTGCTTGCCAAATCCCCTGGGGAAAGAACAAATGTACACAAATGTTACCCACAATCTGAATAAACAAATACAAGGATCGATCCATAACTTCAGATACTTGCATAAGGCAAAATGTTAAACATTCAATATCAACAACACACCAATTAAAGGGTGGCAACCCTTTAAGATGAACTTGAGCTGGTGAAGGCACAAACTATTTGGTTTGTATAGTAGTGTTTTTGGAGTGGAAAAAAATCTAAGGAATAACTGCAGCTGCAGCAAGGCCAAATGATCTGATACACATATCCAAACAAAAAGACACACACAGCCACAGCCCAGCTCATTTTCATAGTGTTACTACCAAAGGCATAACCCACACAGATCTGAAACCGTTAAGCATGCTAATTATTTTTGCTTTTTTTCCATCATGCTGATGGATGGATGGATGGATGGATGGATGGATGGATGGATGGATGGATGGATGGATGGATGGATGGATGGATGGATGGANGATGGATGGATGGATGGATGGATGGATGGATGGATGGATGGATGGATGGATGGATGGATGGATGGATGGATGGATGGAAAAAACATAACATTCCGGGGTTTTTTTCAGCCAATGGGATCTAAGTCCCAAACATAATCTTCTAGGTCAAATCACAGAGCCATTCACGAATTAAAAAGCTTGTCACAGGTCTGAACTAACAGCCATTCTGGGACTGGTGCAGAGATAATAATAAACGGGACAAATTAGGCCAAACTCCAGCTTGAAATTAATTTAACAACCTGAGTGCACATCCATGCGGCTGTCTAGTAAACCCAGGTGGCCTGCATGGATGGTGACATGTTTGCACAGGTTACTGGCAAGCAGCGGGAATTCTGGCATGAATAGTGCCCCAGGCAAGCCCCTCCCTTTGCCTTCCACAGGACCACTGCCCAAAATACGTCCTATTAAAATAAAAACAACCCTATAACCCAATACCAGTCATTACCACTCGTATTTTGTTAAAATACTAAAAAATTATAAAAAAAACACTTGCTACCTTCTTTTTGCCTGGAAATGTAAAATAAGAAATAGAAATATTAGGTCAAGCTGAAATATGCAATTTTTGTCAACACTGCTGGTGTCAAAATTTGCCAAAGAATCAGAGAGAACCTCTGAAGGGCCACTGAAAAGACCACTTGTATGTACGTTTTAAAGACTACTTATTTTCCTGTGACCTCTCAGGTTATCCTTACAAGCAAGCTTGCTCTTGAAACCTTTTCTTATCCACTTATTTCCTCAGCCTACCGCATCCCATCAAAGGTTGGTCTGCAGCTACTCTTCCTCTTTTAGCACTCCAACCCACATCTTTCTCAGTCGCCCCTTCTTTGCCTTAATGTACTAATATAGCATCAACAAGTGTGATAAGAGCTAAAATATGTAGTTATTTAGAGAAAACTGCAGCCAGGGTGAGCCACCTATTTATTCCCCCTCTTAAAGAAACCTGCAGGTTGTAAAGTATTAGAATCTAATTCACTTCTTTAGAAACTGGATGTTAATATATCTTATAGGGTAAGGTGGTGGCAGCATTATGCTGTGGGACTGACAGCTGTCTGATTTTTAAAAGCCTGTTCTTCTCACCAGATGAAGTCTGTGCAGTGGCTGCAGAAGGTGGGCTGCTTGAAGAAGCGCGCGATGAATTTGTGGTCTTTCACTTCGTGAACGTTCTTCTGCCGGAGTGCGCCCTGGCGCGCGAAGCCCCGCATGGGCTGCTTGGGTCCGTCCTCCCCGTCGCTGTTGTTCGCCGCCGAGTCTGCCATTCTCCTGAGTTCAGGCGCTCCGCACTGATCAGTTCAAAGCGCTCGGCGCGTCGAAGTTACGGGTGCGCAGGAAATAGTGAAATGGAGGAAAAATAGAAAAGAAAAAAAAGGACGCTTACTGAAGCAAAGCGAAAATAGTTTTTTTTTCTTCTTGTTTTTTTTGTTAGAAATGGCTGCTTTTTGTTGAGGTGTTGCTGTCTTGTCCGTCAGCGGAGTGAGCTGCTGTCGCCGCACTGGCTTCCCTCCCTCCTCTTCCTCCTTTTCTTCTGAAAGCTCCGACTGTCAGAGAGAGGAGAGAAACAGAGAGAGAGGGGGAGAAGCAGAAAGCTTTTAACGCTCTTTTCTACATTTATGCGTCGTTTTTTTGGCAACATGGGCTTAAAGAAACACTCTTGTATCTCAGCTTTACCGCTAGAAGAAAAAAGAAAGGGCTTTATTCTTTCACAAACAAACAATTTAGCAAATAATGTCAGAAAGTGAAGTGGTTATCTTAACACATCTGAGTTTGAGGTTACATAAAACACTATTCTTCAGAGAATAAACACTGCATTCAAGAGTGAGCACATCTCTTGAGTTATGAGTCACCCTTAGAATCTGCTTTGAAAAGGTTTGTTGTTAAGTGAATTTGATTTCACTAAGTTTCCCATTATACAGCGCTTTGCATGAGTATAACCGCCTTTGCATTTTCTCATATTTTGTCACAGTATAATTAGAAACCTCAAAGTATTTATGTGATTCAATTCAATTCAGTTTATTTCTATAGCACCAATTCACAACACGTCATCTCAAGGCACTTTACAGTTCAACAAAACAAAAAAACAAATTGAATCAAAAGTTTCCATCCAAAAAAACAAGTGAATGCAACCAACGAAAAGAAAACCCCAAACCCAAACAAGCCTGGAACACAAAGGGAAAAGAAAAACTCCCCTTTAAAAAGAAAAAAACTCCAACAAAAACAAGCCCAAGGGGAACCGCCAACCGCCCAAACCCAACGGGGGTCAAAGAAAAAAAAACAAAAAAAAAAAAAACAAACTTAAAAAGGGGCCCCCGCCAAGAAAAAAAAAACCAAGCAAAACAACCCCCAACCAACCCCCAAGGAAAAAGAAGAAAAAGGCAAAACCAACCAAGCCCAAGCAAAAAAAAAAGAACAAAACGGAAAAAACAGGTATATCTTCAACATCTATAAACACAGGTGTTGATGGCAGCAGCACAGCTGATATTTCTCTCCAGGGTGGTGTCACAGCCAAACAGGAACAGATGAGGCAAAGCTGCTATGAGAAAAGGCAGAGAGAGCATAACGTTAGAGATTCAACTAAGAGATTCTGCAGAGTGGAAGAAGCACTAATGTAATGCAGAGTTCGGTATAAATTTAAAGACAAATGCAATTTCTACATTAGATGCAGTTGATACTTTTGTGACATGCACTTTCGCCCCACTACATTTTCAAGTGCAAATAAGCAGCTATAGGCTGATATGGACAACTGTGCTAGGGTGGGATGTTATCAAACCATTTGTCTGTAGCTGCTAACAAGTGATCTCATTACATCACACAGCAGCATGTTGGTTGGTAGCTGCTCTAGCTGTTGCTAGTGTGTGGAACTGTCTGATCCACGCTTCAGCATCAGATAATGTAAGATTTCTGGGTGCTGAGCTTAAGTTTTCAATATTGACCATTTACTTAATCGGAATGATTCCCTCACTAGCTTTATTTAGAGCACATTGCAAGTTGTAGAGGTTCCCAATGCGTTTGTGTTTCCATAAAAAGAGATTCCTCCAATAAAATTGAGATAGTGTGCTGCAGATTGGTCATTTTAAGTCACAAAGGGCAGAAATGTTTTACAAAGCTTTATACTTTGGCCTAAACTTTCTTAAAATGCATTGATATTTTGCTCAGGTGTGAGCTCTGTTGGCATTACCTAATGTCACCAAATTATTAAATAGACTTTGTCAGGGTTTATTTTATGCTCAGTGTAATTGTGTTCTGTGAAGGTCTGAAAAATTAGTCAGATGATAACAATGAATAAACAGTGTCACGGATATGTTGGTAAATTTAAAGCAATGTGAGGTTATATAGCAATATCCCAAACTGTGGACATCTCATAGAACACTAAAAAAGGAAGGGGTGTGACATAAATGCAATCCTGCTGAGACGTGACCGTCCACCGTGAATGACAAGCAAGGCAGGAAGAGAACTAACCAAACCAGCAGCCAAGAAGCTCCCGGTAAGGATGAAGAAGCTATGGAGATCCACAGCTCAGGTGGGAGGATCTCTGGAATAGCGCCCAGAAGAAAGACGCTGCTGAAAGAAGCCCATAGGAAGTATGACTTGCATCATGCCAAAAGCCAAATGAGCTCTTAGGATGAGATGCAATTGAACCTTTTGGCTCACATTTCCATTTCCATGTGTCGTAGAGAGACTAGCACCCAATTTCATCTTGGATAAACTCTCTCCACCGTGAAAACTGGTGTTAGCAGCATCATGCTGTGGGTTTTTTGTTTTGTTTTTTTTGCGACAGGGACAGGGTAGCTGGTAAAAGTTGACTTAAAGATGGATGGAGTAAATACTGAGGTATGCTGGAATAAAACTTCTTAGAAGAAGACGTGACATTGAGGCAAAGACTCACTATCCTCAAGGACATAATAGATATCATTGCAGATGATACAGTGCAACTTTTAAGATTACATTATATTTGTGTAGCCAAATCCAGCTTAGAATCTGATAAAGGTGACAGAAAAAAACAACAATTTAACTTAAATACAACTTAAATTCTCTTTGTTAAAAAGGACACTTTATAAGCAGCAGACTGATCAAAACCTGGTCCATGAACTGCTTTAGAGACAGAGATTTCTATTAATACGTACAAGGATTAAGAGCAACACTTTGGATCACATACAAAGCAATGCTAATAGTAATTGTCACCTTGTTCTAAAGACACTAGAGCTTGTTTTAGGTCCAAACTCCCAACTGACAGGTCCACACACACACATGCACACAAACACACAGTCAGCTGGCTATGAGTGACCTAGATGAGATTGATTTAGCTGCAGGACAGATGACAGCGTGCGCTGTTCAGCTTGGTCTCATCAAATCACTATTTACTGTAGATTTAGCCAATGGTCCAAATGGCCTTCTGTTTTTAACCATATTGGTCCCCCATTACCAGCCTCACCTTTTACATTAAAAACACATCTACATTGTGGTTACATAATTGTATCTAGACAGCTGTAAAGAGAGAAGAGCTGCTTAATTTGCAATGGTTACAGGTATCTAGAGACTCGCTTATGAGTAGGTGTGTAAATAGATTGTGAACATATTCTATCATAGAGCTTCAATGATCTCTTTTATGTATATCCAGTAACTAGGATGCAGTGCATATTCTCCTTGGGGCTGTTAATCTAGAGGATCCATAACCAAAAGCAGTCTCCATATTCAATACCATAGATAATGTTGGGAAGGAAATAGCTGGATAGTGACTCGTTTTGTTTGATATTATGAATATATGAAGATATACTTCTACTTCTGGTTTTGATTTTTGGCTGTATGATATAATATCGATCTTTTTTAAAAGAAAACATTTTTACCTTTTTTTATGAATCCAGACATTTGGGCATTAACAAAAATAGAACAAAATAAGGGGTAAGGGGTACAATATATCAAATTTAATTTTAATAAATAATATTTGAGTATGTTATGGTTACAGGGCTGCACCATATGATTATTTTGCAAATCGATTAATCTGTCGATTATCTTCTCGATTAAACAATTTTTAATCTGGTTGGGACCTCAGAAAGGTGTTTGCCTTTCCTAATCATGTTAAATCAAAATAAATGATCACAGGTAGACACCATTTAAGATGTTGAGTCATCTCCAGGGTGATCAGTGTGCACCTCAGGTCAATTAAGGACTACCGTTTGAAATAACAATAGAACTAAATGTGGAAAAAGGGAAGTGATGCAATGATATTGAGAATACACTGTATTTTTAAAGTTGGCGTAAAAGATGCAGTGAAGGTGGAATGTCAACATTGTAATTTCAGTTTAAATTTAAACCTTTAAATCAATCTTATTGTGTGTTTGCTTGTGATGTTTATGATTTTACAAAGCCTTTCGAAAGTATTTGGCCCCTTTGGAATTTTCTATGTTTTGCCACTTTTCAGGCTTCAAACATAAAGATATAAAATTATAAATCTTCGTAAAGAATCAACAAGTGGGACACTTGATGAATTTGAATGAAATTAATTGGATATTTTAAACTTTTTTAACCAAATGAAAAACTATGCAAAATGATTCAGACTCCTTGAATTAATACTTTGTAGTGTGACCTTTAGCTGCGATTATAGTTTTAAGTCGTTTGGAGTAGGTCTCTATCAGATCTCACATAGACAGACTGACATTTTTGTTGCCAGTTCTTCTTTGCAAAACAGCTGGAGCTCAGTGAGGTTGGATGGATGGAGAGCATTTGTGAAGAGCAGTTTTCAGTCTTTTTCATAGATTCTGGATTGGATTCAGGTCTGAACTTTGACTTGGCCATTCTAACACCTGGATAAGTTTATTTGTGAACAATTCCATTGTAGATTTTGCTTTATGTTTTTGATCCAACAGGTTTTCTTCCAGAATGGTCCTATATTTGGCTCCATCCATCTTCCCATTGATTTTAACAATCTGTCCCTGTTGAAGAAAAGCATGTGTGACAGTGGGGATGGGTGATTTGAGGTGTTGCTTTTAGGCCAAACAGAACGTTTTAGATTTTGGATTCATCACACCAGAGCACATTCTTNATTATGAATTTATGAAGATATACTTCTACTTCTGGTTTTGATTTTTGGCTGTATGATATAATATCGATCTTTTTTAAAAGAAAACATTTTTACCTAAAACTGAGGGAAAGTGGGCTACCTCTGCACCCCCACTGTGGCAGATAACACTGCGGACCCCTTTTTGCTGTGCAGCACAGCGCTATATCTGCAGTTCAGGGAGTCACTACGAAGGACGTGAACTGACTCAAACCCTAAGCAACATGGATACCAAAATAACTGAACGATAAATATCATCTGATAGCAGGAAAAATGTGGCAATATATGGTGATATTGCAAGATAGTGATAATATCGTATTGTGACCTATGTATCGTCACATGTATCACAACACCCATGCCAATACTCACCTCTAGTTGTAACTAGATGGTCTTGATTTAGATTCTGATCAGAATTTTCAGCCTCTAACA